CACATAACTCGTATTTTGTTAGACGTAAAAAGTAAAAGCTGAAACTATTTTCCACTAAAAACATACTTTTCTCCCAACAGGAGAGACATAAATTGTTCCAACGAAATGTAGCGATAGGGTGAAACAAGTCATTCCCCAAAAAAATATGTGACCAAACCCCCTGACCTTAAGAGCGGCGTGGTCTAATTGACCCCAAAAGTTGGTACGATCCTCCCCTTGGGGTCAGATGTATGATACCATAAACCTATCTCGATTATCTCGATCCGTTCTCCTCTGACGGACGGACAGACAGACAGACGGACAAAGTCTTTGCTTAATAGGGTTTCATCCTGTAATAAACGTCAAATCCTTATTTTACGAAACAAAAATCTGCAAATTTTCTGAACATATTTGGGAACGAAATATCACTTTTCTAAGTACTACAAGGTTTTACATATTTGCAATGTTGCAAATTTCCCTAATTTTACAAATTACATCGCCAATTAGCGAGCTACATTTTTTCGCAATGTGTTTTTGTTTAGAAAAAAATATGTATTTTCCAGTAAAAACGAAACCCTGTTTTTCCCTCTTTCTTTGTTGCATTATTCCCTTTCTGAAAATATTTTATGCAGCAGGTGCCCATTCGAATTCTAGTCGCGCTTCAATAAAGCAGCGACCCTAACAAAGTTCTTCTGGGAAGTGTTTTCCGCGTGAAAAAAGAACCGCCTGCAAGAAATTACTGCAAGAAATTGTTATTCTTTACAGGGAGCATAATTTGTTTTAGGAGTGCAAGAAATGCAAGAAATATGCTTCATTTAGCAGACAATCCTTATAATTAAGTCTAATACAAAGGATGATCCTTTAGATCGGGGTTATTTTGTGCATTTCTTGCATCTGTCGCACCTTACATTTCGTGCACGTCACATTTCTTGCACCTTAACTTTGGTGCACGTTACGTTTCTGGCATTTCTTGCATTGTTTGTACCTTATCGTCCTTGTATTTCTTGTACCTTGAATTTCTTGCACCTTGAATTTCTTGCACCTTGAATGTCTTGCACCTTGAATTTCTTGCACCTTGAATTTCTTGCACCTTGCATTTCTTGCACCTTGAATTTCTTGTACCTTGCATTTCTCTTACCTTATATTTCTTGAATTTCGTACATTTCTTACAGTTTTTCACCTAATTTTCTCGCATTTCTTACACTCTTACTATTAGATTTCTTGCATTTATTTCACCCTTCATTTCTTGCAATTTCTTGCACCTTACATTTCTCACATTTCTTGCACTGCTTGTGCAAAAAATGCTTAAAATCTGCCAGAAATCAAACCCTGCCTCTCTTTACCAAGAGTAAAGTGAGTGACAAAATGCTTCCAGCGAGTAAACAATTAAGCTCAGAGAGATCTCGAGAGCGAGACTTAGGTGCGCAAAACCTCGCAAACTTTTCATGTCCAGCACCACTAAACCTCCTGCAAAATAAATAGTTTCGGGATGTTTTAACAAGGTAATTATTCCCAGAAAAGCTTGTATCCCTCGCGTGATTGTGTTTATGTAAATCTGTCACTTTCTCCCAAAACCCGTGTATCTTTCCTTCTCCGAGGAAAGAAAACATGTATCAAAGTTGGGAACTTGCTGTCAGGTTGTGTAACGCAAAAAAATGGCATTGTTTCGCGAAAATCTATGCAATTTTTTTAGGAGATCTTTTACATCTAAAAAAATCTCAACTTTCTTTGCACGATTAATAAAGTTGTACTAGTTCAAATTTAGATTGGGATGCAATTATGCAATATGCAATTATGCAAAGCTGCACTTACAAGTATGCAAAATGGTAATTATGCAATTTAGTCTTTGTATAATAATCAAGCAACCTAAAAGAAAACATGTAACAGAGTTGGGAACTTGTTGTCAGGTTGTGTAACGCAAAAAATGACATTGTTTCGTGAAAATTTCGTGAGTATTTCTCAGCTTTATTTTCATCATTGATACAGTTGGATTATGGAAGTTGGTATTATGCAATTATGCAAAGCTGCCTTGACAATTATATAAAATAGTTATTATGAAAGCAAAATTATATTATGTGACCGAGCCCCGCTGAAGTTTGGACATTTGTGGGTTGCCATGTTTCTTACGTAAATCCGAAATATTTGCCTGGTCCAGATCCGTGTTTCTGGAGCAGGTAAGCCCACCACCTGCAAGAAATTAGGTTTTAGCAGCTAAATATTTTGACGCGAAAGAAATTCACGGCGCTTCAAACTACATCCAGGCCGCTGTACATCATACGGCGCGTGGCTGGATGGCACATATTTCTTGCACCTCGCATTTCTTACGTTGCTTCCTTTGCAGCGCAAGAAATGTAGCAAACAAGCGGTAGAAATTTACTTGACCAAAACAAATTAATTTTTTACTCAAACCAAATTTCCAACGTACATATCCCCCATCAATTTAAATACTAGGCTAAACTAAAAACCACGTGGTTATACATTCACACCATGTAACAATCCCTTTACAAGTCGGTAAAAATTGAAATCTGTAAAAAATAATTTACAAAAATTAGTAATACGTGTCAAAAAATCAGCAAAATTTAAAATTTGAAGAAATACTCAACTCATTTGCCCCAGGTTTCTGATCATACATTACTTTTGTCTCGCTAAATCCCAATTTTCTGCACCTTCCAATTTATTGTAGATCACGGGAACAAATACAAGTTTAAAACCACGTGCAAGAAATTGTTGCTGTTTTCCAAATGTAAAATAGCATGCAAGAAATAAGCGCAATTTAGCGAACGATCCGTATGATTAAGTGTACCACAAAGGGTGACCTGCCAGGTGGCGCTTCTTGCATTTCTTGTAGCTTTAACTTTTTGCAAATTTTTTTTCCAAGAAATCCTGAAAATTCCGGCACAGCTTAGCTTTATGGATGAACCCCCCTCATGAAAATATCTTTATTTTCCTCCTTTCCTTGTCAACAAAGTACTTAAAGCAAACTAAACGTAAACTTTCCCCAGCCAGCTTTCACCCACCTCGACAAGGAACGAAACGAGAATCAATTAACTTGCCCATTTAGAAGTGACCCACTCCAAAAGTCCTTTTCACAAGGTGCACCACCTCGGACTTTGAAGTCGACATGTTGACGCCAAAAAGAGATCATTTCGCAAAGCTCGAGGATCATGCTCTTAACTCGCCCTTTTTCTTCTTCCTCCTTCTCAGTCTCCATTAAAAATAAAAGTATGTGGACATACATACGCTCCGAAAACGGGGGTTGTTGCGTCCATTTATTCAAACGGGCAAATTTTTCGGCAGGGTTTCGGCTGATGAAAGTAACCACCACTTGCAAAAAATAAGGTGGGGAAAGTGGTTTCTTGCAGGGGAATATTTTGACCTGGGAGAAATGCAAGGCGCAAGAAATGACGCCCCGCCGATGTAAATAATTCATACGGCGCGTGGCTGGATGGCCCATATTTCTTGCACTTTCTCCCAGTTTCTTGCACCTCGCATTTCTTGCATTTCTCCCTCTCCACTGCACGAAATGCATGTAGCAAACCCGCAAGAAACCAAACCCTCTTTCCAGTTTTAAATCTACATCTGCAAAATTTTGCACACCCTTTTTTTAAGAGAAATTAGGCCACAAAACAATCAGGGTGTTACATTCAAAAATACAAATCTTTCGAAAATTCCTATTTTTTCGCATGGACATATTTCATATAGAAATATTTAACCATTCTATATGAAATAAATACATATTTCAGCGATTTTTAATAAATTCATATCCTTCCTCTGCTAATAATAGTACATACCAAATTCTGATCTATATAACCACCTATAAGTCAAGTGGTCCATTTTTTCCCCACTTTCTCCACCAGGACGACTAAATAAACAGGGAGGGGACGAAACCCGGGCTTGCTTTTCTCAATCAACTCGTCTCTCCTAATATGATTCCGATATGATGACCAGGATTCGGCTGCTGCATCAAAAGTCACGATTCAATCACTCCTCTTCAACGCGTTCGACAGCAAATATTGCCTTTTTTCCTGCTCTCCTCTCCCGGGTAAAAATCACTCCGTCAAATTCTGTAGTAATCGACAACAGCTTAATGTATTTTTTACGTAATCGTGCACAATATTTTCATCGGTTTTTTATTCTGCAAAACGGTATGTGAATAACTCTGTCTAGTTTTCTGCATAAAAATTAGCTCAGCATAATATTTTTCTGAAGAAAACCGTTCCAATTTCTGCAGGAAAGCCGTTCACATTTTAACTTTAGAAGCGCACTATAGTCTCAAATCTGTATAAGACTTGTCTGCAGAAAATTAAGCAAAATTTCTACCCGAATTTGTAATTTCTACTAATTTTTAGCCCGGAAACGCACTTTAGTTCACAACTTGCATAAAGTTTCTGTGCAGAAATTTAAACAAAATTTCTGCAGGAAAGCCGTCCACATTTTTACTCTGGAAGCGAACTTTAATCCACAAACTGCATAAAGTTTTTCTTAATAAAATTGTATAAAATTTCTCTACGATTTTAAAATTTCTACAAATTTTTACCCACTTTAATCTACAATCCTCCCATCTCCATTAACCCTTTCTGCCCAAACCTAACCTCAAATTTCTTCCCAAAAATAAAATCCGGTACAACTTCATCGTCCACTTTTATCCTCCTGCCACCGAATGACGAATGACATCATCACCCTTCCTCCATCCATCCATCCATCCATCCATCCGTCCCATCCCGTCCCGTCCCGTCTGTTCCTTCCTCACTTACTTACTTACATAACCCTCATAATATTTACTACCACCCCAGTAAATAAATAATACCATCACTACCATCTCTCCTACCTTAAGGCATCCTGGGGGCAAGTCATATTTCATTCCGTCTCACTCACTCGTGAAAGTGGCAGTCCAACAATTCCGTCTCACCGAAAACCTGCGCGTTTCGTGGATCACCCGACAGAGTGAAAGTGGGGGAGAGAGAAAGAAAGTAATAACACTGCTCACTTCTCGGCATGAATTTAGTCTGCTTTCTTCCCCGATCGGAGCAAGTGGTTCTTCGCTTTCACTCAGCTTTCACCCGTGAAATAAATAAAGTAAAGTTTCGACAAAGTTTGGAAGTTTGCTGGTTGTACAGTGTCAGCACTAAATAAACGAATCCGTTGCAGGGGTGACGAAGAAAACGACGATTTTACCAAAGAGAAAGCAACGCAGACCATAAAAAACAGTTCATTTTGAGACGAGACAGAGTTTGGTTTGGTTTAGACTTGTTCCTGAATTGTTCTCGGACTTGTTCTTATTTTCGTGAACGTGGTATTTTGCTCTCTGGGGGAAATACTTGTTGACTGGTGGAGTAATTTGTGGCGTGAATAGATCTACGTACGAGTGTAGTTTGAGACTTTCTCTGACTGACTTTATCGAGGTGAGTTGTCCCATTTTTTGCTATCTTTTAGTGTTATCTATTGCCACCTTTCAGTTATTTGTGTGCACGTGTTTTGTATGTGTCAGAGTTATCTTTTAGTGTTATCTATTGCTAGCTTTCACCTGTATGCACGTGTCATTTATGGAAGTCGTGTGTGTGATAGGTTTGTAACGGAGTAGATTTCGGGTAAGGTGGCTTCTTTTTTTTAACGGGGTGTGTATATATATTTCGGGGAAATGTAGATCTATGAATTTACGAAGTTGGTTGGTTGGTTGGGTAAAAGATGATAAGCAAAATTGGCAAAAATGTGGAAGCGTTGGTCGCGTGATCTTCTTCAGCCCGAAAAATGTTTAGTAACCAAAGGAATAAAGGTTACTTAAGGGGTCGATATAGTTTTAAGAAATTGTAGGAATTTTTCAATTCGGAAACTATAAAACATGGAGTTTCAAAGAATCAAAAATGTGGAAGCGATCTTCAGCCCGAAAAATGTTTAATAAGCGAAGGAATAACGGTTACTTAAAGAGTCGACATAATTTTAAAAAATTGTAGGACTTTTTCAATTCGGAAACTATAAAAAATTGAGTTTAAAAGAATTTGCAATTTACTCAATCTCCCCTAAAATTGCAAAAAATTGTGCAGAAAAAGGTAGACTTTCACCGTGACAGGTTTCTTTCTGCTATGTCTCAATCTTGTCAGTGGTACGTACTTTTTACTGAACGTGTGCTTTCTCCCCTGAGTAAATTAATTCTTTCTCGAAATGCCTCAATTTTAAGGCTATTTTCTTCTGGAGTAAAATGTATACGCGAATTTTCAAACATGTACGCGAAAAATACGCAAAAAATTACGCAACACAACTGTAAGTTACATTTTCTCCATGACAGCTTTCCTTCGCCCATTCCTCGATCGGGTCAGTATTACGTTCTTTTGCTTGCCCGTATGCTTTCTCCCCCGGGAGAAGTAATTTTTTCTCTAAATTCGCCAGACTTAATGCTCTTTTCTTGTCTTAAATACGCGATCACATAATTTGCAAATATGTACTTTATACTACATCGCAAAAAAATGCGCAAAAAATTACGCATCAAAACCGTCAGACATACTTCCACGACAGGTTTCCTTCGCCCATGTCTCGATCAGTTCAGTAGTACGTAGTTTCCATTATCCGTGTACTTTCTCCCTTAGAAAAACTAATTGTTCCTCATTTTTTATTTATTTTAAGGCTACTTTCTCCTCGCAAATACACTATAGTAGAATTTGCAAATACCCCATTGCAAAAAAATACGCAAAAAACTTGTAATGCACACTTTCACCTTTTTCTGCCATGTCAGAAATACGCACTTTTCATTGTCCGTATACATACTTTCTCCCCTCGAAAAACTAATTTTTCTTCAAAATTTCGCAATCCTAAAGCTCTTTTCTTCCCTTAAATACACAATCGCAGAATTTGCAAATACCCCATCGCAAAAAAACACGCAAAAAACTTGTAATGCGCACTTTCACCTTTTCCTGCCATGTCAGCAGTACGCACTTTTCATTATCCGTGTACTTTCTCCCCTCGAAAAACTAATTTTTCCTCAAAATTTCGCAATCCTAAGGCTCTTTTCTTCCCTTAAATACACAATCGCAGAATTTGCAAATACCCCATTGCAAAAAAAAAACTACGCTAAAAAAAGCTTAAAAGGTACACTACTACTTTCACCATGCCAGCTTTCTCTCCTCTCTCGCTTTCTCCTCGTCGCTCGCTTTCTCCTTGTTTGAACAGAGTGAGATGAAAGTCAGATGAAGCGGAGTCATCTTTTCCTAATTCAAACAGTTTCTCGCCATCATTGCAATTTAGCACTTTCCTAATATGAGAATAGTTTTGGGGCATTATTTCCGTAGAGAAATGATCTTTCTTCTTCTTCTCCGACAACTATTTAGTTAGGCAGGCAAGCCCATTGTTTTACAGAGATGGTGATCAGGCTGGGGGGAAGCAGTGGCCGCGGAAGGGTGAGGGGACAGAGGGACAATGTTCCAGGGTAATTGTATCTCCGATCTTATATAAACCCCTCGCCTATCCTACAATATTTAGGTCGTCAAATGTCCCCAAGGCTTCCGAGGCCACTGAATCACCCTTCGTCTTTTAGCCAAGTCCTCTTCTCAGTGGCCGCGGAAGGGTGGGGACAGAGGGGCAATTTCCCCATGGTTTTTCGATGTCCCCAGCATCTCCCCACCTTATATAAACCCGTCCCTCCCCTATCCTACAATATTAATGCCCCCACATGTCCCCACAGCTTCCGCGGCCACTAAGTATCCATACGTAAAGGGAGGATTCACAGTGGCCGCGGAAGCGAGGACACAGGGACAATGCTCCCACGGTTATTCAATGACCACATCACCTGTCCATCTTACATAAACCCTTCCTTCCCCCATCTTATAATGTAAACGTCCCCCGATGCCCTCCAGGCCTTCCGCGGCCACTGACTGAGGGATGATAACCTATAGACTCGTAATCAGCTCTTGTTCTCGGCTCCTGTGCTACTTTCGCAAGTTGAGACAGGCAGTGAAAGCAACTTATTTAACATGCCAACCAACCAGTCCCCGTCAGCCTGGAACAGTTCGACTTAGTTGATGAGAACTGTAAGAATCGTGGGCAAGTAGGAATTTTTTGAAGACGAGGCATTTATTCATGCATAACCCGAGTAGAAAGCACGGTGTAAAATTCTGCAGGAATCAACAAAACTTGAGATGCATATGGCAGCTTGCATAATTTTTTGCATAATTATGCATAAAATTCCTATACGTTTTATTCTGCGGAACGGTATGTGAATATTTAAGGCATCGGGAATCCCTTTCTGCATAAAAATCCGCCACGTATTTAGCTAACAGTAGAAATTACTACGTTGAATTATGCAAAAAGCTCGATATCATATCCTGCATAATCCTCCATAAAATTTCTTATTCTGCAATGCTTAATCTTTTCTGCATAAATCACTCTTAAAATTTTTTTCCACAAAAGTCGTACAAAATTAACTTTCTGTCAAAAATTTTTCTATAAGAAATCCGCTCAAATTTTTACTCGGGTAACTTTCTCCGAATTAAACGCAACCCTTGGAGTTACACCGAAATTTCAAAAATATTAGTATAACTAAAATTTATCCCCCCCAAGAAAAATCTCGGGTTGAACATGCCCCGTACTCCAACCCCGTCAAAACTATACCCATTTTCCTTCCAGCATAATTTAAGATATGGGAATTAATCTAAAATCAACCATATTTTGTACAACGAATCTCACCAACCAAGTTGAAGAAAACAGTTGAAAGTTTTCCCCAAATTGTCATCCACAGTCGACCCGGCTAAATTTCCCAAAGATTTCCGTAAACAAAATATCCCCCATTCATACGTTCAAATTGCTCATCCATAACTGGGAACAAGCCACTCCATTTAAACGATCCCGCGCTCCCATCCTGTCAAAACTATACCCATTTTCCTTCCGGGATAATTTAAGAGATAGGAATTAATAATAATTAAGCAAAACTATGGTTAGTATTTTTTAATTAGGAACTTTTTCTATAAGACAGGCATACAAAAAAGGGTATAATTTTAATACACAGATGACAGCTCATCACCCAAGTTTAAAAAAAAACACTTGAAATTTTGCCCCAAATACGAATTAATTGTCATCACTGGCGGCGAAACCGGGGGGACAGGGGGGACATTGTCCCCCCAGAAATTCAGAAAAATCCTATCTTGCGAATGTTAATCAGCCCCTTTTCCCCCTATCTCACAATGTTAATGTCCCCACGAGTCCCCCCAACTTCCGCCGCCACTGATTGTCATCAACGGAATATTATATGGTTGGTATTTTATAATTAGGACCTTTTTTTATGTAATAGAGACATACAAAAAAGGCTCTAATTTTAATGCACAGACCATAACCCATCAAAAAAGAGACTTTAAATCTCGCCCCAAATTGTCATCCACAGTCAAGTCAAATTCGCAGCCAAATTCGCAAAGATTTCCGTAAACAAGCCCAACCAACCATGGGTTTAAATTGCCCATCCAAAACTGTTGGGAACAAATCAGTCCATCCATTTAAACGATTCTCTATCCTCCAAAATAAACCCATGAAAGGAAGTAGGTCACCCGAAATACACTATTTAACGGGCGGCGAAACTCGGTTTGTTTTCCATTTTCGGGGAATGAATGAATACCCATCAAACTGACAGCCCAGTCTCCGTAATCTCTGCGGTTTCAATAGACTCCAAAAAGTCGTCATCTCCAAAACACCACAGCCTCTGTCCACAAATAACCTAAAACCACCATCACCATCACCACCACCGCCAATCATTTCGACCCCGACGGAAAAAAATATTCTTGGCCCCGGACAAAAAAATGACCCAATTCGTGCAATCATTTGGTGACTGTAAAATATCTATGTAAATTTTTTAAACAAACTAAAGTATAAACTTTGGCTCATATTTTAAAGAAAATTAGATTACAACTTTTGTAAAGTTACTAATGGCAAGATCAAGGGCGACGTTTTACTTTGTACAAGTTTGCAAAATTTTACGGCACGGATTTTACAAAATTAACGTGAATTGCCTCATTAAATTCAACAGATACTGGTCAAATAATGGACACTTACAATGAAACTTTCTTTCAAGCTATTTATACCGGGATTGTGTAACGAGTTATATTAAAAAGTAAAGCCAAACATTAGAAATCCCAGCGTAGCTTGAGAAATGATTCCATTGTAAGTTAATTTTTAAATATTGAAATATTTTGAAATTTTGAAACGTAATTTTTGTGAAATATATGGTCTCTAGGATTTCTGTGATTATGTCGAAAAATAGAACAACTTTCTTTAATACACACTTTAAATTAGGACCAGCTGCATATTCGGCTCAAAATTCTGAGCATTTTCACACTATAAATTATTTTTAACGGAAAAATCTCAAAGGTAAAATTTCCCACGAAGTGAAAACACGTATCATGTCCAGGATGGGGGCATTATTTGACCG